GGGCGGCGGGGGGGGCAAGGAGGGATGGGTAGCCCGCCCAACCGCCTGCCACATCTCGCTTGGAGTGGCACCTGGCTGACAGGAGAGGGCAACAAGCCCCGCCTCTTCAGCTGAAGGGTTTGGATTTGATTGACCGGAGAATCTACCAATCGCTGGCGCAGGAGAAGGTGAGGCAGCCTATGGGGGCGCGGAGACTAGGCGGCATTCACCCCTCCGGCACAGGTGGCTGATCCCGCCTTTCTAGGGAAATTTTCGGCTCTTATTGGCTGACAGGGAATGATAGGCAGACGCCTCCGCCTATGGGGCGTCGAGTAGCTGATGGCAGCTCTGTGGTGAGGGGTCCAGGGTGGAGTCACCCTCCGTTACCTCAGGGATGGCGCCCGGGTAAGGGGGACCTGGGCTGGGGGTCCCCAGAGCCCCAGGGATGGGGTGCCGGCTCTTATTGGCTGACAGGGAATGATAGGCAGACGCCTCCGCCTATGGGGCGTCGAGTAGCTGATGGCAGCTCTGTGGTGAGGGGTCCAGGGTGGAGTCACCCTCCGTTACCTCAGGGATGGCGCCCGGGTAAGGGGGACCTGGGCTGGGGGTCCCCAGAGCCCCAGGGATGGGGTGCTGAGGTGACGGGGGTCCCCCATCCCGTAGGGACCCAGGGATGGGGACATTGGGGGCTCCTGGGATCCCCAGGGATGGGGACAATAGGGACCTCAGCTCCTCATAAATGGGGGTGACAGGGGTCCCACGTTTCTCAGGGATTCAGGTCCCCAGTGATTGCAGGGCCACTGGAGTCCCCAGTTGCCCAGGGAGAGGGCTGTGGGACACTGGGGGTGCTGAGGTGTCACTGGGGATATTTTTAACAGTGCCGAGAACTGGGTTTTTTGGGAGCTTAAAGGGATTTTCAACCATTCTAGCTTCAGTATTTAAAAAACCGTAAAAAAGGTTAAAGAGAGAAGGACGTGGAAGGTTTAGGGGTGGCAACGGGTGTTTTCCATCCTCTCTTGACTTTTATCTCGGTTTTCAATTCTTTCAGCTTAAAAAGTGCCATCCTTGATCTTTTTTTTTTTGTTTGTTTTTTAAACCTCTTCGACACCACCAGGACAACCCGTATGCTGCTACCAGAGAGGTGACCCACCGTGAGAGCTCATGGGCCGAATTCACTGTGTTTTGACCCAAAAGGGCACGAGCAGCCAACCAGCGGAGGTGTTTGGCCTCACCTTCCTTAATTTCGGGATCAAAAAAGGGGAAATTGGACAAAAGGAGGAAGCCGCTTGCCCCGAGAACAGGGGAACCAGTGAGGGATGTTCAACTTTTGGCTGTGCTTGCTCTTCCCCACGGTGCCTCTGTGAAATTCAGCTGACATCAGTCAACGTGAAACGATTCATAACTTTTAACTTTCGTTTTCCATGATAGCCAGCCCAAGGGACGCCTGACTCGAAACCCTGACGGCATTTGGGCAACGAAAAGAGTTTTCCGGAGAAGGTATGAAGGAAAGGGTGCCCAAAAAACCGAGGATTTTCACAACACTAAGTTCCTCGCATTAAAAACACAAGAAATGATCACAAAAACACTGAATAAAATGCTAAAGAATCCCCACCAAACAAACAAAAGTGGAGTTTAGGGGCTCACCTCGGAGAATGCCGGTCGCTGTTTCTGCACGAAGCCTGCAAAAAACACCTCCTCGGGCAGGCGTTGGCCTCGTTTGAGGAGAGCAGAGTGTGTTTTTTTTAACCAATTATTCCAAAAATCAACAGGGAAGGGGCTGCGACACGTGGCGAGGGGCTGCCCAAGTGCATTGGCCGCTCCAAAGCTCCTGAGTGTGCGGATTTTTTTTATTTTTTTTTTTCGTAGGAAATCAGAATTATGAAACGCGAGCGTTTCCTTCCCCCCCCCCCCCACCCCGCAGCGGTCCGGCGTAGCTGATGGCAGCTCTGTGGTGAGGGGTCCAGGGTGGAGTCACCCTCCGTTACCTCAGGGATGGCGCCCGGGTAAGGGGGACCTGGGCTGGGGGTCCCCAGAGCCCCAGGGATGGGGTGCCGAGGTGACGGGGGTCCCCCATCCCGTAGGGACCCAGGGATGGGGACATTGGGGGCTCCTGGGATCCCCAGGGATGGGGACAATAGGGACCTCAGCTCCTCATAAATGGGGGTGACAGGGGTCCCACGTTTCTCAGGGATTCAGGTCCCCAGTGATTGCAGGGCCACTGGAGTCCCCAGTTGCCCAGGGAGAGGGCTGTGGGACACTGGGGGTGCTGAGGTGTCACTGGGGATATTTTTAACAGTGCCGAGAACTGGGTTTTTTGGGAGCTTAAAGGGATTTTCAACCATTCTAGCTTCAGTATTTAAAAAACCGTAAAAAAGGTTAAAGAGAGAAGGACGTGGAAGGTTTAGGGGTGGGAACGGGTGTTTTCCATCCTCTCTTGACTTTTATCTCGGTTTTCAATTCTTTCAGCTTAAAAAGTGCCATCCTTGATCTTTTTTTTTTTGTTTGTTTTTTAAACCTCTTCGACACCACCAGGACAACCCGTATGCTGCTACCAGAGAGGTGACCCACCGTGAGAGCTCATGGGCCGAATTCACTGTGTTTTGACCCAAAAGGGCACGAGCAGCCAACCAGCGGAGGTGTTTGGCCTCACCTTCCTTAATTTCGGGATCAAAAAAGGGGAAATTGGACAAAAGGAGGAAGCCGCTTGCCCCGAGAACAGGGGAACCAGTGAGGGATGTTCAACTTTTGGCTGTGCTTGCTCTTCCCCACGGTGCCTCTGTGAAATTCAGCTGACATCAGTCAACGTGAAACGATTCATAACTTTTAACTTTCGTTTTCCATGATAGCCAGCCCAAGGGACGCCTGACTCGAAACCCTGACGGCATTTGGGCAACGAAAAGAGTTTTCCGGAGAAGGTATGAAGGAAAGGGTGTCCAAAAAACCGAGGATTTTCACAACACTAAGTTCCTCGCATTAAAAACACAAGAAATGATCACAAAAACACTGAATAAAATGCTAAAGAATCCCCACCAAACAAACAAAAGTGGAGTTTAGGGGCTCACCTCGGAGAATGCCGGTCGCTGTTTCTGCACGAAGCCTGCAAAAAACACCTCCTCGGGCAGGCGTTGGCCTCGTTTGAGGAGAGCAGAGTGTGTTTTTTTTAACCAATTATTCCAAAAATCAACAGGGAAGGGGCTGCGACACGTGGCGAGGGGCTGCCCAAGTGCATTGGCCGCTCCAAAGCTCCTGAGTGTGCGGATTTTTTTTATTTTTTTTTTTCGTAGGAAATCAGAATTATGAAACGCGAGCGTTTCCTTCCCCCCCCCCCCCCCCCCGCGTTTCCTTCCCCCCCCCCCCACCCCCGGATGGGATGACGCCTCTTCCCCACTGCATAAATCGGAGTGATATCAAAAAAAACGAAAGGATCAGAGATATGTCACAAGGCGAAGGTGCTGTCAGCACTTATGAGAACTGGGATTTCACTGAGGAGATGGAGTTGGAGAAGCGAGAGCGGTGGAAAGCGCCTAAAGGAGGTATCGGGGTGAGGGAGCGGGTTTGGGGATCCAGAGACATGAAACTAGAGGGTTTCAGCTCTTTAAACCGGTCTTTCTCCGAAGTTAGAGCCAAATTTTGATGCCTGGTTCCTCCATTGGGTCACAATCTAGGAAAAAGAGGTTTGAGCGTGGAGAACGGGGTGGTGGAGCCTCTCGAGAGGTTGTTTTGGGGAGATCTCTCCTCTTTGTGCTCTTCTTTAAGAAAATATCTGTTGGGGGGGGGAGTTATTTGGGGTCGCCTCCCCCCATTTCGCCCCTGGCAGCGCTGTCCCTCCTAGCCTCGTCTCCGGAGAGAGCCGTCGCGCTGCTGTACGTGCTTCTGGCCCTCGTCTTCGTGCTCTTCATGGCCCTCGCTATCGTGAATCTCCAGAGAGGTGAGTCCACCGCGCGCCCCTTGCTCTGATCGCCCCCGCTGAGCGCAGGGCGGGCACGATTTGGGGGAAAACACCAGCGGATGGAGCAAAACGTGGGTTCAAGTTAGGATTGAAGGCCCTTTTGCAGCCCGCGAGCTCTTCGGGGTCAGCTCTGGAGCGAAGGCGAGTGCTCTTTTCCTCTCCCCCAGTATCCGCAGCGTGGGAGGCGTTGGAACAAGCCCGGACGCAGAGCGAGAACAGCCACACGACGGCGTGGCACAACCTCTCAGAAGTCCAGCACGCCCTCGGTACAACATCTTGCCCCAAAATGGCTCCCTGGCACCCCTTGTACCCTTGATACCTGCATGGATTTTCCCCCTGGTGCTTCCCGGGGTGCTTTTTCCAGAAAAAAAAAGAACCAAAGCCGCTTTCCATCAGGACAGAGATGGTCAGGGCTTGTTTTGAGCTTTCTCCTCTTATTTTCCTCTTAGATAAACAGCTCTCTGGCGAGCTCAAGGCGATTCATGGCCAACTTCTGAACGGTATGCCAAGGAAAAGGCTGTTTTGGGAAAACGCGGGCAGAATCCTGACCACCAGGCGCAGGCAGCGACGAGATGGGGGTCAAAAGCAGAGTTTTTCCTCCTTCCAGTGTCACAAGAAGTGGAGAACATGCGGTGGAAGATGACACGGTACGAAGCGGAGGGCGGGACGGAGCTGTCAGATCGCCTCCGTGTCCTGGGTGAGAGCCTGATTTTGATGGAAAATCGTTAAAATCGGTCCTCCTCGATTCCCAAAACATGCCGTAGATGCTCCGAAGATTCCTAACACGTGCACTGGGAGCGGACAAAGCCAACCTTAATGAGTCTGAGATATCATTAAGTATAATATTAAAGGAAAAAAACCTTTCTCGGCCTGAATAAAAAGCTCATTTAACGGAAAGGCTTTGAGGTTTTACTGCCTGAAGTTTAGAGAGCGGTAACTCGCACCAGGAAAACCCACAGCGAAACCCACGGTGTAAACTGGGACAGAAAGGAAAAGGGGAAGGGGGACAAAACCGGTTTTTTAGGCCTTTGCGACAGCTGAATTACCTTTTATTCTCTCCCCGGCAGAGGAAAGGGACACGCTGCTGCGGCGGCAGCTGGCGGAGGTGAAGCAGGAGCAGAGCCGCGCGTCGGCGCTCCTCGACGCGGCGCTGGAGGGGACGCGCAACCTCTCAGGTGAGGGGTAGCGGTGGGGCTGAGCCCGCGGGCGTCTCCCTGGGCTCACCCACGCATTCTCTTTTATTTTTTTCCCCCGTTTTCCCCTCAGAATTTCTCTGCACGCGTTGTCCCGCCGGCTGGCAGCAGTTCTCCAAAACCTGCTATTTCTTTTCCACCAACAACAAACCCTGGCTGGCTGCTAAAGACTTTTGCACCAGCTTCAACGCCCATCTGGCCATCGTCGACACCGAGCAGGAAAACGTAAGCTGAGAAATCCCATAAAAAGTGAAAAAAACCCTTAGATTTCATGAGTTTAGAGGAATATTAGACTCCAGTTCCACAAACGGAAAGCTGGAAGTTAAGCACGGGTGACTCAAGGCTGCCCGTGGAGGCGGGAAAATGCAACCGGTTGAGGTTCCCTCTTGGTTCTGAAGAGATTTGGCCAAATTGCAGGAATTTCTGGTGTGATTTAAGGTTTATTTTTTGGGAAAAGTCGGGGGGGAAGCGGCTGCCCCGCTGGGGTCTGTGTGAAGTCACGGAGAAATTATTCAAATTCTTGAGAAATTATTAAAGTTATGGAATGAATTACAGAAATATAACCCAAACCGCGCACAAGTTAACATTTCTACCCCGATTTAGACAATTCCTACCTCCCATTCAGGAGGGTGCTTTCACCGCCCCGGCTTTTAAAAAAGCACGTTGGGTCTGAAAAAAGCTTCTTCCTCCAGCTATTAGAAATTGCAGCACTTTTTTGCCATTTCCCATGGGAAACGTTGTATTTTTTGTCACGCTTGTGGCGCGTCACGGTTGTCCCCTGCAAGGGACAGGCTCCCCGATGCCACCGACTGCCGGCACCGGCCTCGGCGCCGCTGAATCCCTTTGCCGTCGCTTTCTGCTTCCTCTCCTGACGCTTCTTTTTCTTCCCCGTTTGCAGAAATTTCTGGCAAATCACGTCATGGAGAATCGGGTGTTCTGGCTGGGCCTGACCGACATGCACAAAGAAGGCGACTGGCAGTGGGTGAACGGCCGCTCCCTCTCTCTCTCGTACGTTTTTCAGCCTCATCGGAGGGTAAATTGCCCCCCCCAAAAATCAGCCCTGTTCTCCCTCGGCCCCTTTTTTTGCTCAAAAAAAAGGCGCCGCGCCCTCATTACCGCACCCGTCCGTTCTGGTTTAGTGCTTAAAAAGCACGGAAACCAGTTTTGTGCTGCCGCGGCACCTGAAGATGCCGGGTGGAGGGAAAGGTGAGAGGAGCCACCCTGCTGCAGGCAAGATTTTGGCTTTTCCCCCCCCAAATTTGCTTTGGTTTTGGGGGCTGAAAACCCAGGTGGGAACGCGCAAGGAGCCGCAGCGCCTGCTTGGTTCCCGACCGAGACCCCGCGCCCTGAGTCAAAGGGGTTATTTCTAATGGATCTTTCTCATTTTGGGGATTCTGGGAAAAACACCGCGATCGAAGCAGAGCCGTTTTCCTGCGTTAAACGGGGGGAAAACAGGAAAAATCACCGAAATTGCATTGCTGTGTTAACTGGGGGAGAAAGTTTTTTTGGGGGGGCTGTTACCCTCCCCGGGGAGATGCTGCGGGGTCGGTGTGCTCTCCACCTGACTCCCCCCTACTTAAACTCCCCCCCCCTAAAACCCAACAAGTTCCCAAACGGAGAGTTTTTCACCCAAAATGGTGTGCCTACCCTCCTCAGGTTCTGGAATAGCGGTGAACCCAACAACGTGGGCCACCACGGCGAGGACTGTGTCACCATCTACTCCAGCGGCCGCTGGAACGACGCTACCTGTTCCAACAACGAGGCCTGGATCTGCGAACGCAGCTGCTAACGGTTTCCCCCGGGGCCGCCTGCTCACCTCCCCGCAGCTTAAAAATGGGGAAAAACCAGTAAAAACCCGGCAAAACCAAGCGCAAGGTGAAAACACGAGGTTCTAGGAAAAAAAGGGGTTTGAAAATGGGTACCCCCCCCCTTCCCAAAAGTGGGGTGCGCTGCTTGGGGGTGGGCAAACCGCTGTGGTGGAGGGGTTAAACCGTTTGAGGGGGTCACACCTTAGGGTGAAATTTAGAGATTTTGGGGGTGTTTGTTAACATTTTGTCACCGTTTACCTGTTGCGCCGAGGCTCGACGTATCGCTTGCCGGTTAATCAGGAAAACAAATTAATAAAGAAAGCGCTTCGATTACGATTTGAACCAAAACTCACGTAAATCGAGCCGACGCGGCGCCGAGCAGGGTCGGCGCACACCTTTTTCCCAGGGTTTAGGTAAAAAAAAAAACAACCCAAAAAGGGAAGAGAGACCAGCGAAGACGAGGCGCGAATGTGTTTTCTGGGTGTATATGCAAATCCTCAACTCGTGGGTGCTGAAGCGCGACGCCTGTTTTGCCGAAAGGCCGCGCTACCGGATTCCCCTCCCGGCGTGGGCAGCGGCTCCGCTGGAAGATTTGGGATTTCGCCGGTGCGGTGTTTAACACCTGTAGGCGCCGCCGTGGCGGTTTTATCTACAATCCCTAAAAAAACCCCACACCTGTGCGGGAGCTGCCTTCAAATTCCCGCCGGTGGCAGAGCTCCCGCCGCGTCACCGTTTCTCCCCCAAACCCAACCCTGTCACCCCCAAATTCACCGAATCCCACGGGCCACCGCAAAAGGCGTAATTTTTGCGGAGGGAAGAGCAGAGTCTCGCCCTCGTTTCGCCGCCCATTTGCGCGTCATCGCCGCTCCGGTGCGGAGAAGGAACTGAAACCTCAGCGCCGAACCGCCGGACAAAATGGGGTGCCGGAGGCGGCGAGGGGTGTGCCAGGGAGCGTGCCAAGGGGTATAACTCGCCGCCGGGCGCCTGCGCGGCTACTTTCCCCGGCAAAGCATGGCCCGGCAAGAGACCTATGGCAACTGGTTGGGTCCCCCGCCGGCGCCCACCAAGCGTTTGGTGAGACAAGCAGGTAAAATTAGGGAACCCCCCTTTTCTCCGTGTCCTTGGCGCGCATTTTCGGGGCCGGCGGGTGTTTCGGTGAAGCGCGGCGGTGTCCGAATATGCCGGCGGGGCACCGCCGTCATACGGAGCGGGGCGAAACGCCTTCGGGGTTCTCAGAGTCGTGCGGGTCTCGCTCTGCGCTCAAGAGCCCCTAAATCTCCAGGTTTGGCCCCAATTTCATGTGTCAGCTCCACGCTGGGCCTTAAAAAAAAGCAGCGGCAACTTCTTCACCGGCAGCGATGGGGTTAGAAGAAGCGCTAGCGGTGGTTTTGAGGTTATCCTCAACGCTCTTTCCTTTTTTTTTTTTTTTCCTTTTTTGGCAGGAATTTACTCCGTCGCTGGGAAAATGACACCCATGGGTGACTTCAGACCGGGTAAGTCATCATTTTTTCACCTTTTCAGGCTTTTTTGTAGCGCAGATGGAAAGCAGAACTCTCTGAGGTGCCTCCCCAAGGCCGAACTGGGCTTTATTTTCAGCTTGGTTAATCAAACGTGTTTTGCTATATGTGGCGTTGCTCTCCGAATTTGGTTCGTTCTGTCCAATGAGATCAAATCGCCCCAAAAATATCCTGAAAGTCCACGCTGGGGGGATCGAGGAGGAATTTATCGCTCCGTCCTCACTCTCGGAGCTGGCGTTTGCACCTTCACAGGCTCAAATTCATCCCCTCCCGCCGCGGAGAGCTTCAAACTTCAGCAGAATTGCTTGGATTCGCAGCCGAGGGGAGAAGTCGGCTCTGAAAGAGCGGCGCAACGTTAAATATAAAATCGATAAAATCAATATATATTGAGAAAAGGGTGGAAAAACCTCGCCGAGGTGCTGCGGATTTACCAAAGGAGAAAGGGGAATTGCATTTTTTTTTACACTTTCCAAAGAATCCAGCTGATCGTTAACGGGTAGGATTCCCGGTTGGCCTAAAAACCCGATTTTCACCCATTTTACCTCTCACGTAGCGTCCCCGGACAGCTTCGAGGACGATTACGACGACGTGTCCCTGTCGGAATCGGATCGTGGCCACAAGCCGCTGCCGGCCGATGAAGATCTGCAGAGCCAGAAGAGCAAAGGAGGCACAGGTAGCGCCCGTTTCCTCTCCCCGCATTGCTTGCGCGGTCAAGAACCTCCGCGGGGCAGGATTTGGCCCTAAAATGCCCCAAAAACATCCCCCAGTGACTCTTTCCTTCCTCCCAACAGGGGTTTACATCCTGGCGGGGAAACCAGCATCTCCACATTCTTCCCAAAAGGGTGAGTCGCTCTCAACCGATGCCGCTATCCCGTAGCGGAGGCCTCGGCCGGATCCAGACCCGGGAAGCTGGGATTTCTCCCCGATTTCTTCCGCGCTGCTCTCCGCAGGTAACCCGGATCCCAGCGGTGACAGGGGACAGAGCCGCAGGATGACGTCGGTGATCGTCCTCTACGTCCTGGTAGCGCTGAGCTTCGTCGCGTGGGTGCTGTTCTTCACGCTGGCCATGGTGAAGCGTAAGTGTCCCCAGAAGGGTCCCCGCCGGGCCGGGAAACAGCTGGTTTGGTTAAAACACCCCAAAAAAACCCATTTTCACTGTTAAAAATAATGCGCGGCTCATGCCCGCGATGTTTTAAGCATCCATCCACGTGGAAACCGCAGCTAAAGCCCGTCGGTTGTCGTGATTTGGTTTCAATTCCACCTCGGTATGTGAATTTTAGGGGTTTCTCACCAAATTGCTCCCGGTGCGCTACATCTGGGTGCTGCCTCCTTCTGCCTGCACCGGCGGCGCTCCCCATTTACTACAGGGTATAAAACCAGAGTAAATCCATTGTGGAATTCCCCACTCAGCCCAAAAAAACCATAAATTGGGCCCATTTAGACACCACTCGCGTTTCCTCGGTATGATCCGGTCAGGTTTTTTCTTTCGTTTTCATTTCAGAGATGGAAATTATGGCGGAGTTAAAGCTCTTGAGGACAAACTACTCGGAGAATCAAGCCAACGGTACGTCCTCGGTCTCACATCCCCGCCGTGAAGTTTAACGATGGTTGGGAGACACGGATTTTTATTTTTTTTTTTTTTAGCGTTTGGCTCTTTTTTCTGGCACCGGTTTTGCTTTTTGGTGTAAGGGAAGGAAAAATGGAATTGTCTTGTCGAGCGGCTCCTGGTTCTGCTCCGTCTCTTTGTGAAGCAACGCCGGCTTCGACTGACTTGTTTTTGATTTCCACTGGGAATTACACCGGGGGAATGGTGTAGATCGGACACCGAATGAGCTCATGCCCCAATCCCGAAGGAATTAACCCCAAAAGGGTGTAAATAGGAGCAAATCAGCCCTTGGGATATCACGGGATTTATCCTGATTAGGATCTTACTGGGGGGAAAAAATCCACCTCATTATCGCTGTTAAAAGTTACGGGCAGGACGTAAATCCTACAGAAAATTCTGCAAAAGTCAAATTTAACGGGCCAAATCCTTAACCGCTGCCAAATAAGTGATTAATTCAATTATATTATGGGTGATATTGCAGCAAAACGTCACCCAAAGAGAAAAAAAAAAAACACGCGGCAAAGCTGGCAGCCGGTGACGCAAGAGCTTTTGCGACCCTGATTGAGATTTCTACGTGCGGAAAAGTAATAAATCCTGGGGGAAATAGCTCAAGATTTGGGTAAACCGAAGGGGGAAAAGCAGGAAAAAGTGGGGTGGGGACGGGGCTGGCGGCGGTCGCTCACCCCGTTGCGCTTCCCAGTGCGGCAGGGGCTGTTGGAGACGCAACGGGAACAGATACGGATGCGGAGCGGGATGCACAAATACTACGAGGAATTGCAGGACATCACAGGTAAAGCCACGGTCTCCATCTTGACGATCTCGCGTCGTGCGCCAGGGGAGAAACCTGGCCCGGAAAGACCGCGGTGGTCTTCGGGATGGAAAATTTGGGTGATTTATGCTGATTTTGAGATGTCACCCAGAGAAAAAAACTGATTTTTGCCTGGGTTTTGGGGGTTTCTTGTCCTTCCAGCGCTGATCTGCAGATCCGTCCTGGACAACAAGAAGTGCTCGGCCGGTTGGAAGATCTTCGAGAAAAGCTGCTACTCCTTCTCGACGGAGAGGATGAGCTGGTGGGACGCGAAGGAGATCTGCACCGACCAAGGCGCTCACCTGGTCATCATCAACTCGGACCTGGAGCAGGTCAGTCGGACGCTCGCGAGTGAAAAACAACCAATTTCTCAGCTTACGCCGTGCCCAAAACACCCATTTTTCTCAGAGAATTCCCGCTCTGGCAAACACGGCAACTCTAAAACCTCTTTTTTTGGCCTCAAATTAGCCAAGATCGGCCATCGGGCTCGGAGTTATCTGCAGGGGGAGAGCGGCGCCGATGGCCAAGCCGAGTTCAGCCGACTACGACGTCTGTTTTTAGGAAAAAAATGCTAAAAAATGGAGCAAAAAAAACCAAAAACATCTCCTTTCCGGAGCGCTGCGTACGCGTTTTGCTTTTAACCCACCCAAAATATTCATTATTTACCAAAACCCGCTGCTTAGATAGCGTGGCGATGACCTCACCTTAATTACCAAAAGCCTTGAGGTGCTCCGTAGTCCGCCGGAATTTTTGTTTTGGGGTTGTTTTAACCAATTCTGCTTTTTTAGGAATTCCTGAAGGATAATATTAACAGCAGCAGCACGTACTGGCTGGGAGTGACGGATCAACTGGAGGAAGGCACCTGGGTCTGGACTAACGGCGAACAGACAAGTATTAGGTAAAAATTCCCACCGGGAATTCCCCCAAACTGGAAAATAATCAGAAAATAAAGGGAAAAAGGGGAAGCTGACTCACCGAAACTTTGGTTTTTGGTAGTTTTACGTAAGTAAAAAAAATGCTGCTTTCGAGCGTTTTCTTGCTGGCGGTAAAAAAAAAAAAAAATGGAGCTTTTTAGTGGTTTTCTTCCCTCAAAAATATAAATTTTACCTCTTCCTGAGAACGCTCCGCTCCTTGGATTTGTTTTTATTTCTTTATTATTTTCACTTTTCCTTTTTTTTTTTTCCTTTTTCTCCTCCTTTTTCCAGCTACTGGAACACGTGGAAGGAGAACAAAGACAAGGACCAGAAGGACTGCGGCATCATCGGGCCCGACGGCATCTGGAACGACGAGAGATGCTCCCGCTCCAACCACTGGATTTGCGAAAAATCCTGGAATTGCTGACTTCAGCATTATTTTTTCCTGTTTCGGGACAATTTTCAGTGTATCCATAAAAAAAACAAAACAAAAAAAAAGGACATTTCAAACTTCCCGCTCGGGATGAACTCACGCAGCTCCAGGGGGATCCGGAGGCTCCACGCTCCCATTTTTTACCTATTAATGACATGCAAATCCCTAAAAAAAAAATCACTAAAATCCCCCAACCGTAAACTTGGAAAAAAAAGGGATTTTTTTAGTGAAAATAACTACTGTAAAATGGTTAAAAACCCACTCACCGGCGCAAAAACGGTCCCGTTTCTCAGCGTCGCCGAATTTCTCCGTTCTCCCCAGCTCCGCTGCCACGTCGCCGTTTCCGCTTAACTCAAAAAAAGAAGATTTCGGTAAAATCCTGGGGTTTATTCCCAGGATTATACTTTTTTTTCCATATTTATCCTTCCCTTCCGCAGGCGCCAGCCCCCACAACCAAAAAAACCCCCAATTCTGCTCCTTTCTACGTCTCAATTCACCCCATAAAACTTATTTTTTTTTTCATTTTTAAGAAACGCAGCGTGCGCCGTTCGGTCTTTTTTCACCCCAAATAAATAAAACGGCTCCGTCAGCCTCATCCCAGTGGCTGAAAATTTCTGGAATCCCGTTAAAACCGCGGTGTGACGTTAACGTTTGTTTTTTTTTTTTTAAAAAGGTTATAAACTACAAAAAAAAAAAAAATAAATCGATGTTTCGGGGGGAATTTATACGTTATCGATCAACGATTTGTTACGGGTAATGAAATTCCCTCTCCGGGTTGAAAATTAAGCTCCCTCCCCCCGCTGAAAATTAGGAAATTTGACCCAGCTTTGAGAAATTTGCTGTAAAATCAATAAAAAAAGGCCCCCTGGCAGAAAGTGAAACTGGTTTTAAGCCGTTTTTGGCTGGTTTTCAACAAAAAAAGAAGGATAAAAATCGACCGGTGGCGGAGCCGGCGCAAAGCGACGCTTCTGGCCTGTGAAAAATTGTGGATTTAACCAAAATGCCCGTTTCTGGCAGGGAAATGGGCTGGGGGGGGGGGGGTGATGGAGACTGGGGGTTACTGGGAGCACTGGGGCGAAGGGGTACTGGGAGGGCGGTGGGAGCACTGGGGAACTAGGCTGGGGGGGGTACTGGGAGGGCACTGGGAGGCTACTGGGCAAACACTGGGAGCACTAGGGCAGGGAGACAGCCCAGTCCCAGCACTGGGGGGGTACTGGGAGGGCATTGGGGCAGGGAGACAGCCCAGTCCTAGCACTGGGGGGGTACTGGGAGCACTGGGGCAGGGAGACAGCCCAGTCCCAGCACTGGGGGGGTACTGGGAGGGCACTGGGGCAGGGAGACAGCCCAGGCCTAGCACTGGGGGGGTACTGGGAGCACTGGGGCAGGGAGACAGCCCAGTCCCAGCACTGGGGGGATACTGGGAGGGCACTGGGGCAGGGAGACAGCCCAGTCCCCGCACTGGGGGGGGACTGGGG